TTCTCCGGACGAAGCCAATTGGTTAACATGACCATCAGGTACAGAGTGGCCAGCATCATCAAGAAGTGGAATGCAGAGTACACGTACGTCACTCCATCCTCTTCGTCATCCCATACGACTTGCTTTCCTTCCGAGTTTGAGGCAACCGTTGGACCAATATCGTTCACAGTTGTGGACTCCAGACCCTGTAGTGGTTCGGTTTGTTGAAAAAAGGCAAGAAAATAAACTCAGGAGTAGACTGATCAGATATAGAAAACAAGATGGTGACACAAACGAGCGTATAGGAGACGTAATGTAAGTTAAATAACAAAAACGTTCCAAAAGGGGTAATCACTCCATATACTTTCAAAAACACTGGGAAACATTCAGCACCATACTGGTCCCCGAGGACACAAGACTTGCACCAACCTGCTTCAAATGAGTAAATAATGTCAGTTGACATCAGTCCTCCATCTGAAATGGAGGTTACCCGGGAAGTAAGTTACCTCCAATGGCATAAGGCTTCCGGCCCCGAAGGGCTGTCCCCATCCATATTTAAGAATGGAGGTCCAGTCTTGGTTTTGGAGTTGATGAAACTCCTGGGCACAGTGTGGGAGAGGTCCCAACTGAATGGTGTGAATCGGCAATCATGCCGATTTACAAGAAAGATGACAGATCTTCTTGTGAAAACCACAGAGGAATTAGTTTAATCAACATTGCATCTAAACTTCTCGCTGGTATCATACTCCGTCGATTTTCTGCCGCACGTGAACGGTGCACGCGTGAGAACCAGGCTGGTTTCAGACCTAGTCGAGGTTGTATTGACCACATCTTCACATTTCGTCAAATTCTAGAACATAGACACTCCTTTCGTAGACCTACCGTTTCTACCATCCTCGATCTGAAAGCCACTCGCGACTCAGTCGACCGCTCTAAACTCTGGCGCTGCTTTTTTCTGAAAGGTGTGCCCGAGAAGTTAATGGCTATAATACAATCTCTTTATACCAATAGCCGAAATCGAGTCCGAGCCTACGGCACTTTTTCTCCCGAGTTCACCACGGAAAGTGATGTTCGACAGGATTGCCCTCTCTCCCCGTTTCAATTTAACTTTATTGTAGATCTGATTCTTGAAACAGCCCTATCCTCGTGCGAGGATGGTGACATCGATTTACTTCCAGGTGGCAGGCTGTCTGATCTAGAGTATGCAGACGACATTGTGCTACTAAATGAAGATCCAGGTAAGTTGCAAGCTCTTCCGGATAGTTTGAGTGCTAGTGTAGCCATATTCGGTATGCGTTTTGAACCTTCGAAGTGTCAAATGTTACTACAAGATTGGGTCGGTCCAGCACCCAGTCTCACTCTTACTGGAGAAGTAATAGAGCAGGTGGATAAGTTTTGTTATTTGGGCAGCTACATCTCACGCGGTGGAGGCATCACGGATGAAGTGTCAGCTCGCATACAGAAGGCTCGGTTGGCATTTGCCAACTTGAGACATTTGTGGCGCCGTCGCGACATCCGGCTGTCCGTGAAAGGTCGAGTGTATGCCGCGATAGTTCGGCCAGTTCTGCTATACGGTGCAGAAACTTGGCCATTAAGAAAACAAGATAAAGACAGACTGTCGGTGTTTGAACACCGCTGTCTACGCAGCATCGCACGAATCTGGTGGGGCAGCTGGACGAGTAATGATGAGGTTAGGCGACGTTTGCCGAGGCAGGTATTGGATGGAATAAAGCCAAGAGTGGTCAAGTGAAGATCTGGAACGAGGGTATGAAAACCCTAACCAGGAGACTGGCTCACATAGGTCCCTTAAGGCTCCTTGGCTGGGGACCTCGGGATGATTGTAACCGATGGTTGGAGACATTGAATGACATGGCTGTGTCGTAAACAGTGGAGCTCATATATCTTCTCAATTTCGTCGCAACATTAGTCCACTGAACTCGTCCGTTTTCCATTCGATTCTGCTTTCAACTTTCTTGTCCTTCTCCTACTATTCATCCAAATGGGCAGCCAAAGGATAGCACGGATGCACGAAAGTGCATGGTCAATAGTTGTTCAAACTCAACTGAGCTGAAATTCATATACATTCCACACGTTACACTTAAAGTTGCGTGCCAACCGAATCATGCTACAACAGTCTTCATAAAAAGAAAAAGTTCCATGATTTGCGATAGCGTACTTCCGCTTCAGGAGGTACACATGACGCTACCCACGGAGCCTCAACTATCACAAACGAGATAGCCCGGTTAACGCCGGACCAGCTGAACTGTTCGCTGAAGTATTCCACCCACCGGTCAAGCCGATGTCCCCTATCGTTTCCACCATTGTCGCGGATATTTTTCATTGATTGGAGTTTACCGACCTGTGTAGCGTATCAGCTGGAACAATATGTGACTAGTTCCTGATGCAGCTACTACTTCCATTTCGTTAGCTATTGTCGCCCACCTGTTTTCAAGGTTTTTTCGTGAGCTAACGTTGTACACGTCCCTTACTCTTCTTTGATCCCAGAAGGTCGGAATTTGCCCCTTTTCTTTAGACAAGGCTATTGACTCATTAGGCATACAATGCCTTAGACGGGCTACCGGTTCAGATCCACAAGCAACCCTCGATGCGGAGTGCATCATTCGTCTAATCTGATCCCATTGCTCATCTACACTACCACGTTGCACGACATTTAGATCTTGCAACGTTGCCGTTCGTCGAGAGCTGTGTCTGTTTGATGCAGGACAGAAACAGATGGTGGTCTGTGGAGAATTGCAAAAGTCTATTGCCGATACCTGTTATTTGGCAGGGTAAAGAAAACAATGGATTAGGCAGGCTACATCGGAGCTTCGGCTCAACCGAATGGGTTCGGTGAGTTTGTCATACAAGTCGTCTTTTTGTGCGTCAGAACTGCACTTGGTCGGTGCATACGCAGAGATGATGAACAAACATCTTTTGGTGTGGCAGATGATCTCAACGAGTAGGTTGGAAAACTGAGTGCATCAGAAACTTGTCTAGGCGGTAGTCATGCTCTGCCCTGCCAGCGAACAGACAAGGGCTATCGAATTCTTCGTTTCTGCGCACGGCACCATCTGTTTTTATTCAACAACATCCACATAGTCCCTTTGTGATGATGCTCTAATTGTGTGTCAGAATCCACGATTGTTTTCATTGAAACTTGAATAGCTTCCTTGATTAGATTGCAATGTTCACTGAGTTCTTCGACAGCAGGCTGCAATGAGAGAGAGAGAACTCCGTCCATTTACCTATTTGTAACTGTCACTTACATTATAATGTGGGTATTCGTCTCCGGAAGCTTTTAGTGGTTATTTACCAGGCGTAGGGATAATCTGGCTCGTAGTAAAGTATGGCCCGTATCCAGGGGTATCGATCAGTGATATCGGTAGTCTTGCATGGATCCTTGCAAGCGGAAGCTGATGGTAATGGGATCAATTCGAGTCCATCGTTGAGACGAATTGGGAAGGGGGTCAGTGTAAGCTATTTCTTGCAGGAAAGTTGGTGCTTGACAGGAACAATCCGAGCAACGGTGGATGAACTATGGAGCCTCAGTTATAACAGCATAGGTACTAGCATCCCAAGCCCATCAGCTTTTGAGGAGGGGGACAGCGAAAATCCTACACTTGTGGTAAAGGATGTTATGATAGTTCGACGAAACACTGCGTCTATTCCATGTAAATCCTCAATGTGGTTAACCAATACGAGTTCGAGCTTCTGTTCCCGGTCCTCTTTAATAGCATATAGGTCTCATTGACTGTTGTGTTAGCCAGTCTACTGAGCGCATGCATACATGTAATGAAAGAAAGCAAAACTACAACGGCAGTGTAATAAAATCATGCAATGCGGCTTACCGACAAAGTGAACTTGCCCACTGACGAATGTGAGCTTGAACGAAAAGAAGAGAACAGTACAGAGAAAACCAAAAAGATCAAACCGAAAGCCACATGCCAATCGAATTTCAACTGAACTGGCGCATCCGGTGAAGTGCTGTTGGAGTCGGGTACGTAGGAGATGGTTGGATTGCATATGGGATCCCTCCAGTTAGTCAAAGCGGACCACGTGAGAAATACCACGTAACAGCTGATCATAGATGACTGTAATCACAAGGGTTGAGAGGGAAGAGGATAAGCGGAGAATAGATAAGCACAGATGTAACCTGGAATTTGTTGCAAACGAAAAATAACAATAAAGATTCGCTACTTGGTAAGACTTTACTGTCACCAAAATACTGATACTAAACGAGGTAAGGAGGAAAAATGACAATCTTCTGAAAATAACTGCATCAAACATGTTTGGATGGTCTTTTACAACGACCTGATTGCCACCCGAAAGACATCCAGTATTATAGATTTACTATTTCATAAAGTAAAGCTCACAAACGAAATCAGTGCTGATGATCTACCAAGACCTGAGTTAAGAATGTCTGTGATTCGGAAAATAATGTATACAAATATTTTTTAAATCGATGAGTTTTGACGCAGTGCTCTTCCGTGAGACCACCTTACATCCGTCACACAGGAACTACGGATTGGAAGGATATCAACATCACCATCATCGTAAATCGAAATACAGTAGAGCGGAATTTACTGATCACTGTCAAACTTGTAACGCATATGAAGTTAGTGATAACATGTAAGGTAAGGTAATATGTAAGTACACTTCTGTGGCCCAACGGGCTACAAGGAATAACTTTTTTTAAGCTAAAGATAGAATCACGCCTGGAATGTTAAACGGCAGATTACAGTCTCTGGGTCATTCAAGTTGGAGTAGGTGTTTGTGGATGCATTGTTGAGAGAGTAACTGATTCAAGTAGATTGGTCTCTATTGTGCCTCATCCATTGTCCTGTTGTCAGGTTCCTGTGTAAGCTAATGGCTTTGGTTGATAACCTTAATCATCCTTCTTCGTAATGCTTGGTATCAACAGCAATACTTGCTCATTAAAACTCCAGCGAACAGATGACGGTGATCCACTTCTGCATTTCTGCTCAGGCCACCATGTTACTGTCCGGTACTAACTTCTGCCACAATTATGGACAGACGGCAACGTGGTGCTCCAGTTTAACGAGTATGATAAATCAAATCGACCATATAAAAGTAAGCTACTGTTGGTGTGGCTCAGTGAAAAACTGCAGATTCTATTGGACCACCTGCGGTGAGTCTGATTACGCATCAGTTTTGATGCAGTTCACTCCCCGATTCACCAGTCACCAGTCCTTTTGGGTAACATCTATTGGTTTTCCTTGAGGCTCTTCATGAGCTCACGTTACAGACGCCGCTTACCCTTGTTTTGATCCTGACCGGTCGGAAACTGTCGTTTTTTCTCCATCGAAAAGTTGAACATGGAATACCGGTGCTCAGTTCTGCCGGAAGAGCCACAGCCAATACAATGGAAGCCGCTGAAGTGTTGAAGAACCAGTATGCCCAAGTTTTTGCTGCGTCAACTAACGAAGGACTGTGCCTCCCTCGCTGGATGCAGCCTATTCCACATCCTTTACTAAACACTATATCATTCACTACCCAAAAGGTTAAAGTAAGGCTATTGGAAGAAATCATCGCCTGGTGCAGACAATATTCATCTCCAAGCCCTTATCTGCTTGGCGAATCAAATATCCGAACCACTAGCCTTCCTATTCCAGAGGATGTTTGATCACACTGCAATCCCACCGTAGTGGAAGCAGGGAGTGATTTCACCCAGTTACAAAGGCGGCTGCCCTAGCGATCCCGCTAACTATAGCCCTGTAACCATCCTTTCATTGTCGACCAAAGTCATGGTGTCCATAGCAGTAGAGTCCCTGATGGAACACCTAGAAAAGCACAAAGTTTTGTCATCGAATCAACAATTCCGACACCCATTTCTTAACCACCTTAGATCTTCAAAATATTGTTACTTTTCCCACCAGGTTTGATGCATATCTGGATTTAGGCTTTGTCAACCTTCCTAATTTACTTCTTGTAGAATACCGCCTGTCGAGGTTAACCTCGACCAGTTTCAGTTTGTATAACCATTAACCATGAACTTTCATGCGCTGGTTCTGGTTGCTGTATTACGGCTGCCCATTTGGACGAAGAATAGGAGAGATACAAGAAGGTTGAAAGAACAGTCGAACAGAAAATGGAGAGATGGCATTTTGACATGGTGTGATGGCTTGCGTGCCCCCATGACCCTGCGAGCTACACAGGATGGCTTTTCACAGCCGTAGATCCAATCATGCCCGAAAGGTCAACGGGTAGAGGTCAGACGAAGTTCAGTCTCACAAAGCCAGCTGCTTCGGCACCCCCTGGCTTCTTTCTTCTATCCACACCCACCCCTGGATAGGTCACTCCGGTAAATAAACACGGCGAGGGGCAGTTTACCGGTCAAAAAACCCCGCTAGATAGACGTAGGAGCGGGATACCTGGGGCTTCCTCTCGACGGTGGGAGAAGTCTTCGCACTTCATTGGACAGCTACCGCCCACCCAAGCTAGGCAGCCCCCAGCCAGTAAGGTGCTGTCCCGTCCACGGTCCGCTTGTCTCATTGGGTGCATGAGGCTGGGGGCTGATCCCGAAAAGCGGACCGATAGTCAACGCACCAGCGAACAACACAATTAATCGAAATTCAAAGACCTTGCGTGACAGGTCTCTAGAAGCTCCCATACAGGTGCTCCGTTCACGCTCCCGCGTTGGATTTACGCCCCATTGCCTTGTGGGTCAGACTTTTGAGTCAAAGGCTCCGGTTAGGGTTCCCAAAGAAAAACCCCTTCGTCGGTGTGGGCTGCCGCGAAGTATGCCGTGCCCTAAGGTCTTGGGTACCCATTTGGAAAACCATCTTTCTTATCTGTCAGAAGGGAACTTTAAGCCCTGAAGTGTCACAAGGCGTCTGGAGCAGACAACCTGCCATCAGCCGTGTTTCAAGATAGTAGAGGAGTTTTCGTGATAGAGAGAGAGTTGACCAGATAGTCCTCTAAGATCTGGGAAAACGACACTGTAACCTATATATGGGGAGAATCGATTGGTACACCCATCTACAAGAAGTCGGTCGCAAGGCCTGTTCCAATCACTGGGACACAAGTCTTATACCTACAGCGCCGAAGATGTTAACGTCCGTTTTATTAGGTAAAGTGAGCCCATTTCGGGAAAGATAAATCCACGAAGATATGGTTGGGTTTCGTGCACGCCGTGGTTGCATAGATCAAGTCTTCACCCTTCGTCAGTTGCTAGATCACAGTCACACACAAACGGCAAACGGTTGCCGTCATTTTGGACATCAGGATGGCCTTTGACTCCATCCATCGCTCGGTGCTGTGGAAATGTTTTCGGAGATACGGAGTAACTGAGAAGTTTGTCCTGCTTCTAAAAGCACTCTACGGTCAGGCCTCGGGGAAGGTTAGGGCCTTTTGCTAGGGTTACCCTATCTCTCCGTTTCTCTTCAAATGTTCCATAGATGATGTTCTGTAAAAAGCGTTACTTAACGTAACGAACGCTGGAGTCGAGATTCTTCCTGGAGATGGAGTCTTAAACTTGGAGCATGCCTTAATGGGTGATAACGCACCGGCTATTTAGGCTACCCGTTTCGGTATGTCTTTTGCACCTTGGATGTGTTATGTGCTGTAATACTGTCTACTGTTATTGATGCTCCCTGAATGCTTTTGGAAGACATCAGTCGTGTTCTTGGAATTCGACTGCACACTATTTAGCAATCAGATGAAGTAAAAACAAAACTTCATTATTATTACGTAACACAATAGGATTCAATTCCTAATCCAGTAGACATGTGACCCTACCCGCAATATGAGCAGTGGCAAACCACACTAGATGTGTTTTTCTATATCAGGTAGTTGAACTTGAATCAGGACCGAAATTACAAAGCTGGATCGCACATCGGACAAAAAGAACATCGTAATATCCACACATTGATGTAATACTCACCTGTAGCAGACCAGAAGTAGCAAGTCGTTCTCGAACTTTTGGCAGAACTGACACCACGCTGACGATCACACAAAATATCAAGTTCAAGCTCACGAAGGCCTTGTTCAGTGCACACTCAGGAGCACTGGCATAATAGTGATACAGAAGGCCGATTCCAACCAAAGATGACGCATAGAAAAGAAAAGTCATGCCCAGAAGTCCGACTGCATAGCATTTATTTCCCGTATCTTCAAGACGCTCAACCCAATTTTCGTTCCAAGAGTAAGCAAACTCAATGAGAAGAACCAGTTGGACAAGAATCCACAAAACGCCCCCGATCATTCCAATGATCCTCCATGTCTGAGTAAACCCCTCCACTGGGATAAAGAATGCAGCAATGACCAAAAGAAACCAAATGAGATATTTGAAAAACCAGAATCCATTTTGGATTTTCGAACGGGGATCACGAGAGGATCGGACACGAATCATAATGAGGCTGAATAGTAGAAAAAACATGGTGGTGGCAAAACAAAGACGATAGACCGCTCCGAATCCTGTGATTGCGTCACAATCTAAACCACTTTTCACATTCGTCTGGATTACTCCGGCCATTTTAAACGGTGTGCATAAAGCAGGAATCTCGGCCAAGCCTTTGCGTACTTCTGGAATCAATGCGATTGCTGACAACACGGTTGTGATGATTAAAATCAAACTGAACATGATTCTTGCGGACGTGGAACTCTTGCATGATGGTAAGCAAGCGCAGCATAAACTTGCTGCTGATGAACAAAAGCAGCAGGCTACTGAACTCACAATACAACCCATGACGAACGAATCTAGGCGAACTCGACTGAAGAGAAATCCTCGTCAACAACTGAGGATGGAGTAGATCTACAAGTACAGATAAATGCTGCAATTACTGCTCGCGTAAAAAATGCACAACAAATTTGATATTTTAAACTTTGAAATCCAGAAGCATGAATCAACGACTGTATGCTTAACACAACTCAAGCGGCAAGGATTTCGCTGAAATTCGAACATCATTATGTTCATCTATGCCTTTTGTTTCACACAGCCATACTTTATTTTTTATGTCTCAGCTATATGTATTCCATTGAAGTCGAACAATAACCTATCAAATGGACCTCTACTCGTTCTCCATTGCTGCTCCCTCTGTTTCGGATTCATTACATGATGCTGCAAAGCATTGAAAACGCTGTTGTACTCTTTAAAAATAATTCGATNCTCTTTAAAAATAATTCGATCGTCAGTAACCCGTCAATGGATTTAACACTACCAGTTCAGTTCAATTCAGTTTGTACAATCATTAACTATGCACTTTCGTGCGCCGGGTACGGATGATGTCTCATGACTGCCCATTTGGATCTAAGGACAGAAGAAAGATTAGAAAGCTGAAAGTGGAGTCGAAAAGAAAATGAAAAACTGAGAGGATGCACAAGCGTTACTGTTTACAAAAATCATTTTTGAATTACACACCAGTGCGTGATAAACAACAGAGGGGGCGGACCCCATAGTCATGAAGACCTGCTGTTAACCGGAAACGCCCCAGGAATTGGAGTAGAGAACCACATAAGGCGCTGCTAGGTCGGGGGTGGTATAGAACCGGACGACAGCAAAGCTACCTACCACTTAAGTTGGGTGGCGATGGCGGGGCTCGAACCTCGGACCACACGGTTCAAAGCAAACCGGTGACAGCGATGAGACCACTGCGCCATATTAACCAGTAATCTTAAATCTCCTACGTCTATCTAGCGGGGTTTTTTGACCGGTAAACTGCCCCTCGCCGTGTTTATTTACCGGAGTGACCTATCCAGGGGTGGGTGTGGATAGAAGAAAGAAGCCAGGGGGTGCCGAAGCAGCTGGCTTTGTGAGACTGAACTTCGTCTGACCTCTACCCGTTGACCTTTCGGGCATGATTGGATCTACGGCTGTGAAAAGCCATCCTGTGTAGCTCGCAGGGTCATGGGGGCACACAAGCCATCACACCACGTCAAGGTGCAGTCTGGTCGTGATGGAATTCTGGAATAAGCAGTCGACTCATTATTAGAAACGGATAATTTGCCTACATCTAGCACTGTTACGCACTGCTAGGCAAGCACCTTATACCGAAAGGAAATGTAGTGAAAAAGACGAAAGGAAGCGGAAGGAAAAGGATGAAGTAGTGTTACGATAATAATAATAATAATAATAAAGGAAAGCGAGGAAACCTCTAGAAAGAAGGGGGTGCGTAAGAGAAGGATGAAGCAAAGAGGTAAGGTCTCAGAATCAGATAAGGTCGAGGAACAGGAGAGTCTAACTCTTGTCCAGTCTGGCCTTGAACTGCACTACAGTCTGGGCTGAGACTACCTTCGCTGGTAGCCTGTTCCATGCGTTTACCACCCTATGGGAGAAGTTCGCCCTTATGCTCTTCAGAGCTCTGGGTTCGCTCAATTTCAATTCGTTACTCCTGAGGGAAGGGTTGATGGGAGGGCTCCCGTGCTGGTGATTCCTTTCAGGAGCTTGAAGGTCTCTATAAGACCCCCCTTCAACTTTCTCCTTTGGAGGGAGAAAAGTCCTAACTCCTCCAGCCTCTGGGCGTACGTCAACCCTTGGAGACCTGGGAGAAATTTGGTGAATCTCCTTTGTATCCTTTCAAGAGTGTTCATGTCTCCAACTTTAGTTGGTGCCAATGCCTGGACTCCATACTCTAAGTGGGGACGAACGAACGCCTTGTATATTGGAAGCAGGACTACCGGGTACCTGGATGCAACAGTACGTCGCAACTGGAACAATGCCCTTCGAGCCTTCCCAGAAGCCTCATCACATTGTGGTGACGGCTTGAAGGATTGGTGCATAAGCATCTCTAGGTCCTTCATTGTCTGTGTGCTGAGTTACCAGGGGGTTATCGTGGTTAAGGTAGCGCACCACATGGAAACCGTGGGACAATAAGAGTCTGCACTTGCCGGCGTTTAGTGGTAGGCCCCAGACCACGGACCAGTTATAGAGGGTGTTTAAGTCCGGCTGTATGACATCCCCGGTTGGCCCACCTACAATTTTAGCATCATCAGCAAATAGGAAGCACTTTGACTGTAGCCTTTGAGCTAAAACGTTAATAAAGATTACGAACAGCAAAGGCCCAAGTACCGATCCCTGTGGTACCCCACTGCAGGTTAAGGCGGAGGTAGATTGGGACTCTTCTACTTTCATGAAGACGTTTTGTCCACTGAGGTATTCTCCTATCCAGTCTCTCACCACGGGAGAAAATCGCAGGTTCCTTAACTTAAGTAAAAGCAGCCGATGGCTGACCGAGTCAAATGCCTTCTTGAAATCTAGATAGCAAACTTCAACAGGGTCACCGTGGTCTAGCCCGACAGTTCGTCAAGGAAGGATATCAAGTTCGT